AAAAAAGGAGAGAGAAAAAAAAAAAAAGCTTATTCTGTGTGTGTGTATATATATAAATATCCTAATTTTTGTATCAAAAGCAAAAAAAGTTTCCTCCTTCAGGGTCAGGCCACCACGTGCTGCAGGTTTGGAAACCGTCACGACCATAGCAGCGACCGTTGGGATTTCAACCCCCCAAAAAAACCCCCCAAACCCAACCCAGAAAAACAAAAGGGTTTTTGCTCCCTGAAGGAAACGTCCGTGTGGTGGTGCCGGATTTTGGACCTGCCGCAGGCTCTGGGGTTACCTCCACGGCTGCTCGATGGGTCCCAGCAGCGAGGGGTGCTGCCCCGTGGGGTCTGGGGGCTCTGGCTGGAGAAGAAAGCGGCTCCAGGTGGTCCCAGCTCCGTGTTCTCACCCGTTTTTGTCTCTTCCCAAGCTCCACCTGGATCCTTCTCTACTCCTGGTCTGCAACAGCAGCGGAGGAGAAATTCTGGAGCCATCTCAAACGCATCGGGCCGGCTGGGGCTCGGTCCGGTATCCCACCGCACCCACCGTGTCTTGGCCCCAGAGTCCTCATTACCCCCGCTCTCAAATGAAGCTGTGAGAGCAACCTCCACCCAACCCACCAGAAGGGCTTTGGAGCAACCCAGATCTTGGCCTCTGACGGTCCAGAGAACCGACAGTCTGGGGAAATTCTGCTGTTTCAGAGAACGGGTCCATTTTCTTTTCTTTTCTTCTCTGTACCCTGGGTGCTCCGTGAAAATGTGACTGAAAGCCAGGGAGAGGAGCCCTGTGTCCCAGAGGAGACAACCAGGCTTTCTCCAGCCGTAGCAGCAGGGAGAAAGGACCCCTGGGCACACGGCACACGCACGTTTGCCGACGCACAACCCGCTGCAGGTTCTTGCCACCATCCTTGGACCAGGAGACCTCCATCCCTAATGCTGGAGGAGATTTCCGATGATTTCTCCTAGCATCCCAAGAGCTGCTAAGATCTGTCCATGGACACGTTCGAAACTCGGCTGGTTGCTCCAAGCAGCCTGATCTAACTTTGGCGTTGGTTCTGCTCCGTGGTTGGGCTGGAGACCTGGGGTGTCCCTGCCGCCAAGGTTCCTGTGTTTCTGCTTCTCAGGAGGGTTCTGCACGGTCCCAAACCTGGGAAGCGTAGGAGCAGAGCTTGAACAACGGGCCCGCCAGTGGGGCGAGGGGGGCTGAAATTAAACGTCATCAAGGTGACTTCTTGCCCTTGGCTGGATGAGGCTCCACCAAAACAGCTGCAGATGCAAATCACAGAACCCCAGACTGGTTTGGGTGGGCAGGGACCTCACAGCCCATCCAGTGCCACCCCCTGCCATGGGCAGGGACACCCTCCACTAGCCCAGGTTGCCCAAAGCCCCATCCAACCTGGCCTTGAACCCTGCCAGGGAGCCAGGGGCAGCCACAGCTTCTCTGGGCAACCTGGGCCAGGGCCTCAGCACCCTCACAGGGAAGGATTTCTGCCTCCCATCTCATCTCCATCTCCCCTCCTGCAGTTTGAAACCTGAAGAAGGTCTCCAGACGGTCACTGCCAAAGCGTTCGCGGGTTGTTAAAGCTGAGGGAGACCCTTCTCCAGCTTGAGGGACGTTCTTGCCGCCCTCCAGACAAGTTTAGGGGTTTTTCCTCTTGGTTTTTGGTTGTTTTTTTTTTTTCATCAGAGGCTCCATCACGGGGAGGAATTTGGGTTATCACAGCAGGAGGCAAAAATACAACCGCTGATTTTTATCGTTCCCCTCGCAGAAGAAGTAAAATACAAGGAAACCCTGACGCTGGTGATGGGCCACGGCGCAAGGAGAGTCCTCAGGGTCAAGAAAAGTCCTGAGGACCCGGGGTGCAGCACTTCTATATTAAAAAAAATAGGTTAATACCTTGATTTTAATCAGTTTTTTGCTATGAAGAGGTGTCTGATGCAATAACCTTCCGTG